TCAATAGGAACGCGAAATTCGACTTTGACTTTTCGTGTTTTCGGCACTTCTCGTAGCAGGACGCTAAAGAATCTCCTCAAAGGTCATCGTCGCCAATCGCACTGGGACTATGCGGAATCGCAAGGGCACGCTCTAAATCGGTCCTCTGCTTCAATAGGGACGTGAAATTCGAATTTCACTTTTCGTGTTTTCGGCAATTCACGTAGCACGACGCTAAAGAATCTCCTCAAAAGTCATCGTCGCCAATCGCACTGGGACTATGCGGGATCGCAAGGTTTCAGGTTTCAGGTTTCAGCTTAGGGGTTCAACTAGCAGCCTTGAGGTGGCTTCACGTCCGTAACTTGGACGGGTTGGGTCCTTAGGAGGACCATGTCCACGACAGTAGCTTTCGCCACTCCGCTGCGTGCGTACGTGCCTGGATGTGCTAGCGGCCGGGGGGCCTTGAGCCAGAGCAAGTCTGTCACCCAATGTGCAGACACCCACTCCTTCACCAGGACTTACCTACTGCCCACACATTGCCATCAAGAGATGACAGGCCCATATCGCCGGCGTCCGGGTAAGACACGTGTAGTCACATGACTATCCTTGGCCAGACGACACAGGGCACGGTATCCTGGTTAGGGGTACCGCGGGTGTGACATCCGGGCTGTCAGCCCGGCACCCTTTTTGCGGATCGGGACACACCAAACTTCGTGGGTCGAAGGCCGTAGCCGCATTCCCATCCGTGAGGTGTAGCCCTTGGGTCAGGTCAAGTTAGGCTGTAAGAAAGGATTACTCACATAACACCAATAGTTTGACGTACCGTACCATACATAAACAGCCGCCGTCACCTTACCGCTACTCTCCTCCATACCCGTCTGAGCTAGTATAGCCTTACGCTGCTCGCTGGCTGCTTGCGCTAGGATTGGGCGGGTGCATGCAAATAACTCTACCGGTAGCATAGATATCGTTTTATTGTGGCCATTGTTTGTACAAAGAAATTTGCAATACAGTGCGTGCACACAGTGCGTGTGTGCCTTAGGTCCAGGATGTGAAAAATAAAGGGGGGGGGGGAGAGAAGATTAGTCTGTGTGAATAAAGTCGTCACACTATTTTATTATAGCCGAGTTACTTCAATACATTCCAACATACGTTCAGTCCCGTCACTCGCTGTCACTCAGCGTGTGCGCCGGGCGGAGCGGGTTGCCTACTGCAGGGGGTGCATCTTCATCCTCCGAGGTGGCCGGGCTTGCGATCGGCCCCCGCGCAGGCGGCTGTGCGGCCGGCAGTGGGGCCAGCCCTCGTGCCACCTCCTCCACTAGCTCTTTCCAGCTGTCCCTGTCTTGGGCGCGTTGCCTCCAGTCAGGCTCGTTAAAGTACACCGCCACCTCCGCAATGTAGTGTTGCCACTCGGTCCTGGGCTTGCCTCTCTTCCTCTTGCCATCCGGCTTGAGGTCCAAGGCCCTTCTGGTATACCTTTCCGGACCGGCCCGGGCTACGTGGCCCGCCCAGTTGAACGCCACCTTGTGTACCGCGTCCACAATGCTGGTAGGCTCCTGCAGTATCCTACGTATTTCCGCATTGGTCCTAGAACGCAAACGCCCATTTCCCCGGTACTCCGGACCGACCCTCATCCTGAGGGCGTCGTTCTCGAAGCCTTGCAGCGCTCTTCGGCCCCCCCCCGTCAAGGTCCATGCCTGACAGCCGTACATTGCAATTGGTCGAATGACTGCCCTGTAAATCTGGACCTTCGCAGCATTGCGCGTGCTCTTGGCTCGCAGCATAGGCTTCAGAGCGCGTAGCGCGCGCAATGCTGCTGCAGCTCGCTCCCTGATGTCGAGGTAGCAGTCATTATCTGGCGTTATGAACGAACCCAGATACTTGAATACCGTTACCGCCTCGTAAGTCTGCCCCGCGGCCTCCAGGTGCTGACTGGGCCCCCTGCTGCCGGTGATGCCAGCATGTACTTAGTTTTGGACTGGTTGACCTGCAATCCAATGGCCGCGCAGTGTTCGATGAGGGCCTCCACTGCCTGCTGGAGCTGCTCCCGGGAATCCGCCATTATAACAATATCGTCCGCATATGCCAGTAGCAGGACCTCCTGGGCTAGTGCCGCCAGTACCGCCCTTATGGCGTACTCCAGCGCGAGATTGAAGAGCAGGGGGGAGAGGGCGTCTCCCTGACGGACACCTGAGAGCGTCGTGAAGTCCTCGGACAGGTGACCCAACACCCGGACCCTGTTTCTCGTGCGCCTGGACAGCGCCATCATCACCGTAATCAGTTTCCTCGGCACTCCCAGCTTGGCAAGGTTACCCCCCAGCACGTCCCTGTAGATGGAGTCGTAGGCCTTTGCGAAATCGATAAAGACGACATGTGTTTCCCTTTTTATAGGCCCCTCGACGTGCTAGCGTTGTACGGACCGTATAGATGTGGTCCGTTGTGGACCGACTCCTCCTGAAACCCGCCTGGTACTCACCAACAATAGCATCTGCATAGGGCTGTAGCCTCCGCAGCACCAGGGTGGACAAGACCTTGAAGCCCGTGTTCAGCAGTGACAGGCCTCTGTAGCTATCACACTCATATACCGAGCCCTTGCCTTTATGCAGGACCGTGATAACCGCCTCTTCCCATTCATCGGGAAGCTCCTCTGTGCGCCAGAAAGCCTCAATCAGATGCCAAAGTTCGGTGTGGATTTGTTCACCCCCGCATTGCAGAAGCTCCGTCGCTACCCCGTCCCCTCCTGGTGCCTTGTTGGGCTTGAGGGAGAACAGAGCGTCCTGGACTTCCTGCAGTGTGGGCGCTTCCATCTCCCTTCCGTCCTCCGCCCCGAGCTGTGGCGCCGCCCCGCCCTGGGCAGCGCCCATGCCGGCTAGTACCTGCTCAAAGTGGTGCTTCCACTGTCGCTGTAGCTGTCCCTGGTGTGACACGAGCATACCCTTCGCCGTGCGCAACATGGTTGCCCTCTGCACGAAACCTTGCCTTTGCCTCTTTGCTCCCGCAAAAAAGGACCGCCAATTTTTTGCCGTGTGATCTAGCGCGAGGGCTTGGAACTTGGCCTCCTCGGCCTTTCGCTTGGCTTTCCTTACAGTCTTCTGAAAGGTCTTGCATGCCTCCTCATACTCCTCCCGAAGCTGTGCATCTGTCCAGTCGGACTCCCTGCGCTTCCACGCCTCCCTTCTGGCTACTCGCGCCTCTTCGCACTCTTCATTAAACCATGGCGCTGACTTGTCCTGCCGTTGTGTGCCTAGTACTTCCTCGCCCGCTTTTAGTATCGCCCTCTTGATTCTGTCCCACCTCTCGTTGACTGATGGCGGGGCTGGCGGGGTAGTTTCAGTGCCAGGGGCAGTTCCAGGAACTGTTTCATGTGTCCCGGCCTCCTCCGTGGCCGGGCCTCGCGGCCCTTCCTTGAGTATCTCACTCACCGCGTCTTCATATTTCTCTTGGGTATCCTCCGCCCTTAGTTTCGACACGCATAGTTTCCTTGGTGACTTTATCCCGCCGTCTTCCGCTTTCCTGGCCCCGCGCCCCTTCCATTTCCATTGGAACTTCGCCGTCACCGGGGCGTGGTCTGAGTCATTGCACGCTGACCACTCCGATTGCACCTCACTGATCCACCTCGCATACCGCCTGTCAACCAAAATGTGATCAATCTGAGTAACAGTCTTACCGTCCGGGGACATCCACGTGGCGCGGTGGTCCCTGGACCGCGGGTTGTATGTGCTTGCAATGACCATGCCGTGCCCCTCGGCAAAGTCGACGAGCCTCTCGCCATTGTTGTTGCTCCGCCTGTGCAGTGAGGCCACCCCTTGGCACCCTTCCGAGCGGGCCCGCGATGCGCCCACCTGGGCGTTGAGGTCACCGAGTACGACCTTGACATGTGACCTGGGGATGCACTGTGGGAAAAAATCACAGTAAATCCTGTAGTGATTAGTACAGCTGTCACTGTAATTCAGAGTACAGGATTTACTGTACTTTTTTAACAGGATCTACTGTACTTTGTACGGGATTTACTGTACCACAGGAGTGGAGTACGGAATATCCTGTACCAGGTACAGTAGATACTGTAGCCAGGCACGGTAAATCCTGTGTTCTGAACTGCAGTATATCCCGGCAAAAAAATTAACGGGATTCACTGTGGTTTTTTCGCACAGTGTGGTCTTCGTGCAGAGAGTCACTAGTTGGTCATAAAACTTGACCTTCGTAGTGTCAGCCTGCTCATTCGTCGGGGCGTGTCCTGTAATGAAAGCGCAGTTACGACCCTTGACCCGCACAACTAAAGCACATAACCTATCATTAACCGGGAACCACCCCGTGACCGCGGAGTCTAGTGACCTGTGAACTGCGAAGCCCACCCCCAGTCGTCTGTTCCGCCCCCCCGCGGGGCCAGACCAGCGCAGGTGGAAGCCTTCCATCCACAAATCCCTAGTCCCCTCCCACCTCATCTCCTGCAGCGCCGCGATGCCCACTTGCATCTCCGCCAGTTCCCGCAGGATGTTGGCCGCGGCGCCCGCCTTGTACATGGTGCGCACATTCCAGGTAGCTATCTTGGAGGGCTTTGACCGCGGCAGCTTGGTCGGTGGCTGGGGCTGTGATGGGGGGTTGCCCGGCTTGGCCGCCTCGAACACCCAAAAAATGAGTTCTTTGAAACAAAGAAATTTTTTTTTATATTTTTTGTTTTGAATATTTTGGTTGATTTAAAGAAATTTAGTTGATTCCGGGCCCTTGTCTAGAACCACGCTAGTTTAATACAAGATAGAATTTCACTCGACCGCCCACCCCCCCTTCCCCCACCCCACCCGGCCGCCGCTGGATGCTGGGGATTCGTCTCGTGCAACTGCGGCCGACTCGGCCCGGCCGGGCCCGGCTCGGCTAGGTTCGGCTGGACTCGGCTCGGCTCAGGCTTGCCGCTCCGCTCGTCTCGTCACCTGCCCCGGCCCGGGCCACTCACTCGCTGATCGACCGGCCGCCTCATTGACAACAAGACAACTGTGTTGATTTTAGTAGTAAGTTTTCTCGGGTGGTTATGGACGAAGAATCGAAGCACTTGCTTCGTAGCTGGGGATTCGAGCAGCTCATCGACAAATTTGCTGGTAAGTTGAAATTCCTACGTATTCATTGTCATAGCGACGCGTGTGCCTGTTTACGTTGGGCTAGGGACAGTGTGGTGTGGCTGAGTAGTGGCGATGTTCTTGTCGCTTTAGAAGCAACTCTATCCCTTGCGACCTCCTGCAAGCTTGAACGCTCCCCACCGTAACCAATACGCCGTGCTGGACGCCCTCCGCGCGGCCGCGGTCGCCGCCCTAGGCACCGCCGGGCTGGCCATGCTGCCCGCCTTCGTCACCGCCGTGCCCGCCGTCGTGCCCACCGCCGTGCACCACGTGTTTGCCGTGCTCGCCGTGCTCGCCGTGCTCCCCGTGCCCGCCCTGCTATCACCGCCCTGGCCGCCGTGGCCTCGGCCGTGCTCGCGCTCGCCGCGCCGCCGACCCACGACGCCGCCATGCTCGTCGTGTTCGTCGTGTCCGCCGCGCTGTCCGCCCGCGCCACGGCCGCGCACTCCACCCTCGCCGCCTTCGTCACTATCGTGCTCGCTCTGGCCATCCTCGTCATCGCCGTGTCCGCCGCCGTGCACCACGTGCTAGCCGTGCCCACCGTGCCCGCCGTGCCCGCCGTGCCCGCCCTGCTATCATCACCTTGGCCGCCGTGGCCTCGGCCGTGCCCGCGCTCATCGCCACCACGCCGCCGACCAGCGACGCCGCCATGCTCGCCGTGGCCTAGGCCGTGCTCGCGCTCATCGCCACCGCGCCGCCGACCCCGACGCCGCCATGCTCGCCGTGGACTCGGCCGTGCTCGCGCTCATCGCCACCGCGCCGCCGACCCCCGACGCCGCCATGCTGTCCGCCATGCTGTCCGCCATGCTGCCGCCATGCTGTCCGCCGTGCTGTCCGCCGTGCTGTCCGCCCCCGCGTGCTGTCCCCCCCGCGTGCTGTCCGCCCCCGCGCGCTGTCCGCCCCCGCGCGCTGTCCGCCCCCGCGCGCTGTCCGCCCCCGCGCGCTGTCCGCCCCCGCGCGCTGTCCGCCCCCCGCGCTGTCCGCCCCCGCGCGCTGTCCGCCCCCCGCGCGCTGTTCGCCCCCGCGCGCTGTTCGCCCCCGCGCGCTGTCCGCCCCCGCGCGCTGTCCGCCCCCGCGCGCTGTCCGCCCCCGCGCGCTGTCCGCCCCCGCGCGCTGTCCGCCCCCGCGCGCTGTCCGCCCCCGTCACTATCGTGCTCGCTCTGGCCACCCTCGTCATCGCCGTGTCCACCGCCGTGCTCGCCGTGTCCGCCGTGCTCGCCGTGTCCGCCGTGCTCGCCGTGTCCGCCGTGCTGTCCGCCCCGCGCTGTCCGCCCCCCGCGCTGTCCGCCCCCGCGCTGTCCGCCCCCCGCTGTCCGCCCCCCGCGCTGTCCGCCCCCCGCGCTGTCCGCCCTCCGCGCTGTCCGCCCCCGCGCTGTCCGCCCTGCGCGCTGTCCGCCCTCCGCGCTGTCCGCCCTCCGCGCTGTCCGCCCTCCGCGCTGTCCGCCCCCCGCGCTGTCCGCCCCCCGCGCCGTCCGCCCCCGTCACTATCGTGCTCGCTGTGGCCACCCTCGTCATCGCCGTGTCCACCGCCGTGCTCGCCGCGCCGTGCTCTCCGCCCGCGCCGCCGCCATGCACCTCATGCTCGCCGTGCTAGCCGTGTCGGCCGTGCAGGCCTCCTACGTGGTAATCGCCGTTGCTACACGCTGGAGACTTCATTCTCGTCGTCGCGCGCGTGAAGTAGCGCTAGGCGATTTGACGGTTTATTTTTTGACTCCGAAAATGTTAAAAGGTTTTTTTTCTTTTCCAGAGGATGAAATTGGACTTGAAAACATCAAGGCAAATGCTGTTTCTGAGGTCTATTTGCGGCCGCTTCTAAAACCTGGGCCACGGTTTCTCTTGCTGTCTAAGATTGAGGAGTACGCCAAAAAGGTAAGTTAGCATGTTCCTGGGAACGTGACATCATGCTCCTGAAATTATTAGTTGTGAATTGTACATTTTTCCTGCTGGTACAATGTAATAACGAATCGTTTTCTTCCTAGTGCCGCGCGGATGAGAGCAACCCAACAAATGAGGACACACCGAATGACGAGAACGAAGCAATCTCGCTTGACAATCTTGGAGCCTGCCAATCTGAGTCTGAGGAAGACGAGGTTGAGCCGAGACCACCACCAGCCAAGAAGGCGAAACAGGCCAAGAAGTCCAACAGTGCCGTCGATTTCATCGAGAAGAGATCTAATGACCATAACGTTAACCGCCTCATTAAGAACTTGGTTAGTAGTGTCTCATAATATCTCAGTTGTGTGGTGTTTTACATTTGTACTACAGCACTGTTTTTTTGTCTCTTTTCTTGTACAGGATGTGCACGCTGTCATTACGGGAGACAGTTTGGCCAAAGTTGTTCTGGAAACTTATCAACTTAAAGCAGAGAACAACAGACACCTTGATGAACGTGGCCGGAAGCAAATCATACGTTGTGTTGGTGCACACCTTCTTAGCATTTCTAAGGAGTGAGTATTGAAAATAAGATGTTTTTCTTCGATTCGTCATCTTTTTTATTTAGTCAACAACTTCGATTCTCCAATTTCGTTTTGTAATAGAAATCATTTCTTTTCCAGCCTGAAAAATGAACACGTGCTGTGTGTTGCAGAAAAGTTGATTAAGCTATTCCCATCTGAATCTTTGGTAAGACAGAAATAACCTTTCCCGTTTTTTTTTGTGATCGCATTATCATTCCAAATCTAATAAACCAATATTCTTATTTTCAGGGCACTTACTACATTGCTCCTAAGACGTATCCTAATCAGGATATTGCCAAAGGCCGCCTTACTTACAAGTACCGAAATTTAAAGTCTGCCCAGTCAACGTTATCCAAACAAGAAGTTAATGAGGCAGGTCCAAGTAGAGTTCTCTCCAGCCCTCAGAGTGACAACCCATACCAGTGGATTTTAGATTACATTGAAGGTAATTATATTGACAACATTTGAGTTTAATCCTTATGGTTTTAAGTTAATTAATTATTTATTTATTCCATTCGTCACAGATCCATCGATCACAGATGAAAGGCTTGGAGCTGAACACTGGCTTAGACACCAGAATTCTCCTTGGCCTGAGGTTCTAGAGAAGTGGCGTTTGACGGCTCCGTTAAGGCTGCAGGGGTTGATTAACACGAACAAGCTTGAGAGAACAGCCAAACGTGACACAGGCGTAGCGACTGAAGTGCAACTACTTGGAAAATATTTCGACACCCATACCCTGCTTCGCCACAGCAGTGGATATCAGTTGGTAAGAAAAATGTGGTTCTTTCGAAAATTACTGGTTTCAGTCTCAGTGCTACCGCCCTTCGCCCTTCCCTTCGCGCTGCCTGTGTCTCGCTGCTCGTGACGATGCTCGCCACGCTGCTCCTCGCGTTGCCGTTCGCGCTGCCCTTCGCGCATCCCTTTGCACTTCCCTTCGCGCTTCCCTTCGCGCTGCCTGTGTCTCGCTGCTCGTGACGATGCCCGCCACGCTGCTCCTCGCGTTGCCGTTCGCTCTACTCGTTGCACTGCCCGCCACGCTGTTTGTGACGCAGCCGTCACGATGCCCTTCGCGTTGCCGTTCCCTCTGCCCTTCGCGCTGCCCGCCGCGCTGTTGTCGCAGCCGTCACGATGCCCTTTGCGTTGCCGTTCGCTCAGCCCTTCACGCTGCCGCCACACTGCCCGCCACCCTGGTCGTGACGCAGCCGTCACGATGCCCTTCGCGTTGCCGTTCCCTCTGCCCTTCGCGCTGCCCGCCGCGCTGTTGTCGCAGCCGTCACGATGCCCTTTGCGTTGCCGTTCGCTCAGCCCTTCACGCTGCCCGCCACACTGCCCGCCACCCTGGTCGTGACGCAGCCGTCACGATGCCCTTCGCGTTGCCGTTCCCTCTGCCCTTCGCGCTGCCCGCCGCGCTGTTGTCGCAGCCGTCACGATGCCCTTTGCGTTGCCGTTCGCTCAGCCCTTCACGCTGCCCGCCACACTGCCCGCCACCCTGTTCGTGACGCAGCCGTCACGATGCCCTCGCGTTGCCGTTCCCTCTGCCCTTCGCGCTGCCCGCCGCGCTGTTGTCGCAGCCGTCACGATGCCCTTTGCGTTGCCGTTCGCTCAGCCCTTCACGCTGCCCGCCACACTGCCCGCCACCCTGTTCGTGACGCAGCAGTCACGATGCCCTTTGCGTTGCCGTTCGCGCTGCCTGTGTCTCGCGTTGCCTTCGGTTTTCCCGTCACGCTGCCCGTCGCGTTTCCCTTGCGCTCGTGATTTCCGCTGTGACCCGACGGCATATCTTGCGTCTCCTTGGCCTGATCCATAGCGTGCACTTTGTGGTAATTTCATGTTTTTGAACATTCATTGTAAAGGATTTATCATATTTTTTTTTTGTTTTCAGCTGTGTCAGGACTTTGACTTTATTTTCAAAGAGAGTGCCAACAACCTCTACCTTCATTGGGAAAGTTTTGAGCTGAAACTTCTCGACCTTGCAAAAGAGGTTGTTACAGACAAATTTGGTTTGAGTGCTTTAACTACTCTTAGTGACGACACCCTGAGTAAAGGTTGGTATCTCAGAATAATTATTGCAGTTCTAATTCTTTCAAACAAGTACACAGGAAACTTGTACTTGGATTTACGGCTTTATATAAATGACCATTGTTTTGCTTCTTTTTTTCCAGAGACGAGAACTTTGACATTATTGACCCTCATACCATCTGTTTGTCAGCCTCAAATTAAATTGAAAGTTGCGGCGGGTAAACTGTGGAAAGTCTCCATTCCTGACTCCCGGCAAAGCTTCATATTGCAAGTTAATGTGAGTAATATTTTTGTGTGCGCATTTGCGTACCGTGTTCCTTATTTTTCCCTCTCCTTCCTCTGTTCCTCTCCCTCTGTTCCTCATCCCTCTGTTCCTCATCCCTCTGTTCCTCATCCCTCTGTTCCTCTCCCTCTGTTCCTCATCCCTCTGTTCCTCATCCCTCTGTTCCTCTCCCTCTGTTCCTCATCCCTCTGTTCCTCTTCCTCCTCCTCACCCTCTCTTCCTCTCCCACTCTCCTACTTGTTGTCTTCTCTCTTTCTCTTCCCCTTCTTTCTGCTCCTTTCCTACTCCACTCTTCATTGCGATAAGACGGAGGCTTCGACAGGCGATTAGAGATTAACTCTACATTTTATTTTTCAGGCTCTGGCGGACCTTCGAACTGCTATCAAACGTCGTGGCGAAAAGCTCCAACTTAACAAGCAGCGTGCTCAGCCATTTATAGCTGTAGTGGGAGGCACTAAAGCCTATTTTTGCGTGGATAAGGTGGTTTATTCATGCAACAACATCCTTTCGGCCCTGGAAAGCTGCTACAAGTCATTCTTTGCTCTCCACGCCCTTTATCCACCAGAGTGTGAGCAAGTTTGGCTCATCATTCAGCGTTGCCTGTACCGTATGGAGACTCCTTATGACAATCTAGGGATAGCAAAGTTGCACGAGATAGAGCCTCGCCTGAAGTAGTGTGTGTATGAGTGTGCTCTTTTGTTTTGGTTTGGTTTTCCAATATGTGTATTGTTTTGTAAATACATATTCTGTGTTACTTTTCTATATTGTATTCAAGTTACTTTTGTTATCATGTTTCCTTGTTGCCTTTGCCGAAAAGTGTTTGTTGGGCAGGATAATGTTATGAAGCACATGAGGCTGTTTCATCCTTTGCCACCTAATGGGTATTTATGTAAATTTTTAACATGTGGCAAAACTTATGATTCTTTGAGCAATTTTCGTGGTCATCTCAAAAAGTATCACCAGGGCGGTGGTGATATTGTGCAGCCACCCCAACAAGTACAGAATCCCGTTAATAATTATCAGATGAATGTTGACAATGACGTTGATATGAATGATGGTGTTGATAATGTTGACAATGAATTTGATCAGCCACCTGAACTGCAGGATGCCCAGGAGGAAGTCACGCCTGATAGTGTTTTAAGATGTATTAGCAAGTCTGCCCTGACCTTTGTCTCAAAACTATATTCTATTGATAATGTTAATCGAGCACATGTAGAAGTAATTGTGAAGCTTTCATCCCAGTTCATACATTCTGTTGTCAGTAGTATTCGCAGTAAATTTCAAGAATTTGACGATCCTGACATCGAGGAGATTTTTGACATTACGTCTAATTCTTTTGAAGGGCTTCTAACTGAAAGTCAGAGATTTACAGCTTTAAAGTCTTGTGGCTATTTAATTGAATCCATTCCCATACCCATAGATTATGCACAAGATGTAGTTAATAATCCAGAACCTGATTTAGCCCAACTCCCTTTGACCGGTCAATTCGTACCTTTCAGAGAAGTTTTGAAGCAATTTTTTGAAATGCCAAATGTGTTTGAAAAAACTTTGACAAATTACGAAAATCTTCTAGCCGATGAAAATAATATTTCTAACATTGTACAGGGTTCATTGTGGAAAGACCACATTGCTCCGAAGTTTGAAGGGAAAACAGTTTTGCCTTTGGATGTGAATTATGATGACTTTGAGCCAGATAACCTGGCAGGCTCTCACCAGGGGGATCATAAAGTAGGGGGAACTTACTTCAATTGTCCTGTAATACCCCAACAGTTTTTAGGTAGTTTAAAAAACATGTTTGTCGCTCAATTGATTTTGTCTGATGATCGAAATGTTGTTGATGGTAACCACAAAGCATTTCACTTGCTGTTAAAAGAACTTAAATTTTTGGAAGAGGAGGGTCTTGTACTCACAATTAATAATCAATGTAGGAGAGTTTACTTTACTTTGGCATTGGTATTGGGAGATAACGCTGGTTTGCACTCTGTTTTAGGATTTGTTGAGGGTTTTACAGCGAATTACCCATGTAGAATGTGCCGTATGCACAAAGACTTGGTGAAAAGGATGTTGTTTGTACCGGAATATTTATTGCGCACTCCTGAGAATTATGCTAATGATGTTGCTACCAATGATCAGCAATTGACAGGTGTTTATGAAGAATGTGTGTTTAACGAGGTTGGATCATACCATGTAGCTCTCAATCAGTCAGTGGACATCCAACATGATGTTCTTGAAGGAGTGGCTAAATACAGTATGTGCAAAATTTTGGAAAACTTAATATATACTAGAGGGTATTTTAGTTTAGAAACTTTAATATTAAGAGTAAATGATTTTTCTTATGGTGTTCTAGAGAGTGGGAACCGACCGCCATCACACAAACTTACCCAAGACAGAATCATGAATGATACTTTAAACTTTTCATCTGCTGAAATGTTGTGTTTTATTCGGTTCTTTGGTATGATGGTTGGTGATTTAGTACCACAGGGAGATCCAGTTTGGGAGTTTTACTTAATATTAAGGGAAATTGTTGACATAATCTTTGCTCCATCATTTTCTCCTGGCACTCCTGAGTATCTGAAATTATGTGTAGAAATTCATCATCAAATGTATTTGAATCTCTTCCATGTTCATCTGAAACCAAAACACCATTATATGCTTCATTACCATATTATAATGAGGCTTATTGGCCCACTTGTACATGTTTCCAGCATGCGCTGGGAGAGCAAACATAGGGAATTGAAGATAATTGCTAGAAGTACTTGTTCAAGGAAAAACTTGCCAAAAACTCTGATAACAAAGTATTTGTTAAAGCTAGGATTTAGATTTTTGTCTGGCTGTGCATTGCAAATGGACTACGATTTGGGTGTATCTGTGAGTGTGCCAAAAGCACTTGTTGACCCAGAGAGTATTATTGACCAATTTGTTAATCTCCACCCTGTACCTATTAATTTTGAATGTCTTTCGTGGGTACGTCTGAATGGAACATATTTTAGCAATGGACTGGCACTCCATGTTGGTTTTACCAAAGACTACCCATCCTTCTGTGTGATTGATCGGATTGTTTACCTTGGGCTGTCAGAAAATTTTGAACCAAATATTGTTTTTGTTTGTCACAAGCTTGTTACAAGCTCATTCAACAGACATTTGTATTCCTATGAAGTTAATGAAACCAATGATTGGCATGCCGTTGCTTATGATGACCTTTCAACCAGTTTCCCACTCAGTACCAGAGTCCTTCCTCAAGGGGGCCTGTACGTGTGTCCAAGATGCTGGCTTTGATGATAGACCTCAATAAAAATATGCTTATCTAGAACATGGATTCCTTACTTTCACCTGACACTCTAATCTGACCCTTCGGGGAAGGCTAACCTAACAAGAAGGCTGTCAATCTAGCCTGTCAAGAAACACTAATGCAGAGGGAATGCGCCCGGAACGAAGGCAACCCAACTTGCTCTGACAACCTCGCGCACTTTTTTCACCCACGGGGTGGCACGGTCGCTAAGTTTACCCCCGGCACCTGATATCTTCTTTAAAGCGAAGATGACTAGCTTGGATATGTGGGCAACAAAATTAAAGTTATATTAAAGAAAAAATGGTTTTGAAGCTTTCTTTTTTTATTTTCTTTGCATTTGACAAAAACTGTCTTCAGTTTGAAACGTTTTGCCTAAAAGACCAAAATTGCCGTAAGAGAAGATCCGCTTACAATCAAGAGTGTACTTTGTGTCCACACAATTTATTTTGTGTTGCTCCAACCATAAATTTCTTTGACTTGGCAAAGGTTTTGTTGAGCCAACACAAGAAGCAAGCCATATTTTTAGTTGTTTCAACAAAAATTTCGTCACCGCAATATTGACTTAAATATTTCTTTGTTTCAAAGCAAATTGCGTTGATTCAAAGAAGGCATTTTTGGGTGAAGCTCAGACGCCGCTTCACACCTTGGCTGCCCTGCGGCGAGGTCCGGCCGCCCACCCCTTGCCCGCCCCGCCGCGTCGCCGCGCGCGCGTCCTGCTGGTGCCCGGCGTGCGGCCACTCCTGCGGGGCCTGCAGGGGCGAAGGGGGACGCGAAGCCGCAGCGGCCGGCGGCCCCTCCCCACCACTGCGCCCCTCCCCTCACCCAGGCCGCGCCGCCCGCCGTGCACCCTCAGGACGCTATCGCAGCACACCTGCAGCTGCGGGGCACCTGTTCGCCGGCATGGACCGCGCGCTGCTGGGCCCAGCCGCCGCTCCCTCCCGCTCCCCCCCCCCCCCCCGCGCTTGGGGAGGGGGGGGGGAGGGCGTGTGATGGGACGAGGCCTTGCGCGTTGACCCTCGGATCGCCGTACCCGACTGGTCGCCCAACGCTGCACCCGCGTCGCCACGACGCCGCCCCTCGGACCACAACATGCTAGTGGGGCGCATGTGGCGGAAGGACGCACTCGCCGCGCCCTCCCTGTCCGCGCAGGTCAGGACCTGCGCGGCCAAGGTCGCCTCGATGGACCAGCTGATCTGCGTGCAGACGGGGAGAGGCGTACCCCTCGTAGTGTAACAGACAAGGACAGCCTGAGCATGGTGGCCCTCCAGCAGAGCGAGACAAATCGGCCAGCGACCGAACGACCGACCCCCCCTCCCCCCCCCGACCAACCCTGCGACCACGACGCACGCAGGGGCCAGGGGGGAGGGGGCAGGGGGAATAGCTGTGCGGCGGGCTCTCGCCCACCCTGACCTGCCTGGTGCGGGGCTGGGAGGAAAGCTGTAAATGAGCGTGGCTGCGACAAAAAACAGAGCCCCGCCGTCTGGGACTGCCGCTGGGGACCCTCGTTGGCATGGCAACGGCGGGCCGCCCGGTCCGCATCGCCACGGCTCGGGAGGGAAAACCACGCCGCTCGTGACGCCTCTCTGGACAAACAAAGAAACACGCTTCACGGACGTCAACTCGCGGGCCTTTCACCCCCTGACGGACCTCCTCTGCCCTGCCACAGCTTCCTGCGGCTGGGCCCGCGCCGTCATGGGGCGCGCCGCCACCTGTTGGGCGGTAATGACACACTGGCTCTGGTACCCGCTGGCACTGGTACTCATCTGGCGCCATGCTGCACTCGCTAGGCTGGTGTTGCTGCAACCAAGGGCTGCCAGCTTGGCATCGCTGATCACACATCGGCACCTTCACTCTCCACTGCACTCGCTCGGCCTAGGCCAGGTGGCGTGGCCCCGGCTGGGGACCGGCCCCCACCCACGCTCGGGCCAGCCGACGCCAAGCCCTTGCACACGACACAAAGGCACACACAATAACACCGATGGAAAAACACTGATAACTCGAACACTGCTGCACAGAAACACTTGACACTCACACCACGTACACACTTTTACAAACCCCATCTTTTCGTACCCCACACGCCCCGGAAATCGCACTTTATACCACTAGTTGGGAGGGTCAAACACGGAGCGACCCAAAGCACGACCGCACGGCAACATGGCCGCCCTGCCTCCCCGCGGGATCGCAAGGGCACGCTCTAAATCGGTCCTCTGCTTCAATAGGAACGCGAAATTCGACTTTGACTTTTCGTGTTTTCGGCACTTCTCGTAGCAGGACGCTAAAGAATCTCCTCAAAGGTCATCGTCGCCAATCGCACTGGGACTATGCGGAATCGCAAGGGCACGCTCTAAATCGGTCCTCTGCTTCAATAGGGACGTGAAATTCGAATTTCACTGTTCGTGTTTTCGGCACTTCACGTAGCACGACGCTAAAGAATCTCCTCAAAAGTCATCGTCGCCAATCGCACTGGCACTATGCGGGATCGCAAGGGCACGCTCTAAATCGGTCCTCTGCTTCAATAGGAACGCGAAATTCGACTTTGACTTCTCGTGTTTTCGGCACTTCACGTAGCACGACGCTAAAGAATCTCCTCAAAAGTCATCGTCGCCAATCGCACTGGGACTATGCGGGATCGCGAGGGCACGCTCTAAATCGGTCCTCTGCTTCAATAGGAACGCGAAATTCGACTTTGACTTTCCGTGTTTTCGGCACTTCACGTAGCACGACGCTAAAGAATCTCCTTAAAAGTCATCGTCGCCAATCGCACTGGGACTATGCGGGATCGCAAGGGCACGCTCTAAATCGGTCCTCTGCTTCAATAGGAACGCAAAATTCGACTTTGACTTATCGTGTTTTCGGCACATCACGTAGCACGACGCTAAAGAATCTCCTCAAAAGTCATCGTCGCCAATCGCACTAGGACTATGCGGGATCGCAAGGGCACGCTCTAAATCGGTCCTCTGCTTCAATAGGAACGCGAAATTCGACTTTGAGCTTTCGTGTTTTCGGCACTTCACGTAGCACGACGCTAAAGAATCTCCTCAAAATCGTCGCCAATCGCACTGAGACTATGCGGGATCGGAAGGGCACGCTCTAAATCGGTCCTCTGCTGCTATGGGAACTTAAAATTCGACTTTGACTTTTCGTGTTTTCGGCACTTCACGTAGCACGACGCTAAAGAATCTCCTCAAAAGTCATCGTTGCCAATCGCACTGGAACTATGCGGGATCGCAAGGGCACGCTCTAGATCGGTCCTCTGCTTCAATAGGAACGCGAAATTCGACTTTGAGCTTTCGTGTTTTCGGCACTTCACGTAGCACGACGCTAAAGAATCTCCTCAAAATCGTCGCCAATCGCACTGAGACTATGCGGGATCGGAAGGGCACGCTCTAAATCGGTCCTCTGCTTCAATGGGAACTTGAAATTCGACTTTGACTTTTCGTGTTTTCGGCACTTCACGTAGCACCACGCTAAAGAATCTCCTCATAAGTCATCGTCGCCAATCGCACTGAGACTATGCGGGATCGGAAGGGCACGCTCTAAATCGGTCCTCTGCTTCTATGGGAACTTGAAATTCGACTTTGACTTTTCGTGTTTTCGGCACTTCACGTAGCACGACGCTAAAGAATCTCCTCAAAAGTCATCGTTGCCAATCGCGCTGGACCTATGCGGGATCGCAAGGGCACGCTCTAGATCGGTCCTCTGCTTCAATAGGAACGCGAAATTCGACTTTGACTTTTCGTGTTTTCGGCACTTCTCGTAGCAGGACGCTAAAGAATCTCCTCAAAGGTCATCGTCGCCAATCGCACTGGGACTATGCGGAATCGCAAGGGCACGCTGTAAATCGGTCCTTTGCTTCAATAGGGACGTGAAATTCGAATTTCACTGTTCGTGTTTTCGGCACTTCACGTAGCACGACGCTAAAGAATCTCCTCAAACGTCATCGTCGCCAATCGCACTGGGACTATGCGGGATCGCATGAGCACGCTCTGAATCGGTCCTCTGCTTCAATAGGAACGCGAAATTCGACTTTGACTTTTCGTGTTTTCGGCACTTCACGTAGCACGACGCTAAAGAATCTCCTAAAAGTCATCGTCGCCAATCGCACTGGGACTATGAGGGATCGCAAGGGCACGCTCTAAATCGGTCCTCTGCTTCAATAGGAACGCAAAATTCGACTTTGACTTTTCGTGTTTTCGGCACATCACGTAGCACGACGCTAAAGAATCTCCTCAAACGTCATCGTCGCCAATCGCACTGGGACTATTCGGGATTCCCGGGGCACGCTTCAAATCGGTCCTTGCTTCAATAGAAACGCGAAATTCGACTTTGACTTTTTGTGTTTTCGGCACTTCACGAAGCTCGACGCTAAAGAATCTCCTCAAACGTCATCGTCGCCAATCGCACTGGGACTATGCGGGATCGCATGAGCACGCTCTGAATCGGTCCTCTGCTTCAATATGAACGCGAAATTCGACTTTGACTTTTCGTGTTTTCGGCACTTCACGTAGCACGACGCTAAAGAATCTCCTCAAAAGTCATCGTCGCCAATCGCACTAGGACTATGCGGGATCGCAAAGGCACGCTCTAAATCGGTCCTCTGCTTAAATAGGAACGCGAAATTCGACTTTGACTTTTCGTGTTTTCGGCACTTCTCGTAGCAGGACGCTAAAGAATCCCCTAAAAGGTCATCGTCCCAATCGCACTGGGACTATGCGGGATCGCAAGGGCACGCTCTAAATCAGCCCTCTGCTTAAATAGGAACGCGAAATTCGACTTTGACTTTTCGTTTTTTCGGCATTTTACGTAGCACACGCTAAAGAATCTCCCCAAAGTCTCGTCGCCAATCGCACTGGGACTATGCGGGATCGGAAGGAACAAGCTCTAAATCGGTCCCCTGCTTCAATAGGAACGCGAAATTCGACTTTGACTTTTCGTGTTTTCGGCACTTCATGAAGCTCGACGCTAAAGAATCTCCTCAAACGTCATC